GCGATTTAGTCTACTTATAGCACTTTCCTTTTCTTTAATGCGGTGGATAAATAGACCATGAAGTTCCAAACGGCTCTTCGTCTGAAGTTGGAGAAATTTCTTTATTAGTCATGGACCTTCGGGACAGTTAACAGCCTGATTTTAAGATTGGATTGGAAATAGCTTGAATTAACCTTGCCTGCGAAAGAAACACGACCTGATGGAATTTCTAAACGTCAATAGGCCGGCCAAACAATGTTTGTTTGGTTCATCTTGTCAAATGACTTTTGGGTCAAGTTCGAAACTGATGGAGATCTCCTGGAAATGTCCCTGGGACTCTTGTGATGTCTCAAGTAAGAGGATGTAAGTACATTTCATTCTGGAAAAAACGTCTTTCACCTGCCGTGAAATTCTAGAAATTTTTAAGTTGAGTGCACTGCAGCGAATGAGTGCCTGGTTAAGGCTTACATAGCAACTTTAATAGCTAGCAAAAGACAACTTTCTTTGCACAAATTATCACCTTGTTATCTGCCAAAATCGGCCTATGGTTCAATGCCATTAGAGCCTGCTGAAACTAGACCTAGATCCAATTTTCCTACGTGGAGAGTTGCTTTTACAAGGTACAATCAGCTAAGCTAAACACCGACGAAACAGTATTAATCATGATTAATGGCTTGCACAGAATATTTTGGGCAAACGGCAGTTCAACCACGCGATCACATACCTGTCAACACCATGCGGAAATCACACACTTTCTCGGCACTGATAAGACTATCCACAACCACACATAATCTTCTCACGTTCAACATAAGGGAGATATCATCGAATAACTCGGAAAAACTCAGCCTACTGGCAAATAAAGACCTCTAGACTTTTCTCTAACACTCGTCTTATTCAATTTCCCGGATGTAGAGTCACATCGTCGGCGGGGACCACCTTAGCCTTATTTTCACACCAGAAAAAACCTAAGTCTTGGCCCGGGTCAAAGTTCGCCTACAATTTTGCTCGCACCTAATCCATTTGACTCCTAAGAGCCTGTTCCCGAGGCCAAAGACTTAGTGGTCACCTTAGAAAAGCGAACAATATCGTACCTTTCTGTCTTAGCCCGGATCAGGGTGATTGATCCGTTTAGCCAAATGAAACGAGAATATGATACGATATTGGACGATGCAGACTCTGCGAATCGTAATAACTTTGTCCCATCTCAGAGCTTTACATGATGCTCTCCGGGAAACTTTTCTCAAGGTGACCAATATCTAAAGTAAACTGCTCAACGGAAGCGAAACCAGCTTTAGGCGGGGCGTCTGGAAATGCGGGAAACCGGAATCCGGAATAGGAACGGGAATAGGAACAGGAACAGGAACCGGAACCGGAATAGGAACCGTAATGGAAAGAGGAACTTATATAAACATAGGGACAACAATTATCTTAACTTACTTTAATTTGGATTTAATTCTTATTTAGTATATACGAAAAATAAGGGAAAAGAAAAAGAGAATAGGAACGCGGAACCAGAATAGGAAGGGGAATGGAAACTCGAGGAGAGGGAAGAAAAAAGGCCTTGGGAGAAAGTCGAAAAGCAGGAAAACTACTGTTTAAGACTCAAATGACAGCAATAAAACTGGGGTTAGCTGTCTGTAGTGTGCATGACCCACTGGCTGGGATTCGCACTCTCGCGGGATTTATTTTATTTCGGTTTTTTCGTCGATGTTAGATAGGATTTCGTGACGTGTTGACACTAAATAACATCGACCGAAGCCAGCCTTCCTTGGGAAGACCATAACCCGCGTCGTTCAATGCAATACAGCTGAGTCTATTACAGATTCAACATTTTTTAAGTGAGATAAACTGGAAACGACAGTATTGACCGTTTTATAACTCAAACTAACTCAAATATAACATCTTTGCTGGGATCGATCAAGTGAGGGGAAGTCCAAGGGATCATTTCAGTCATTTTGTAAGACGCCGCTGACATATCGATGACTCATCTCATATCAATGAGATGCGATTGATCTCAAAATTGTCAAATTTATGAGAAAACTTATCGAGCAGATTTTTGAAAAACTGCGAAATTTGTAGGCATGGACCAAATTACGTGCAAAAACTATAACAAAAGCAGCTGAATGCAAGTTAATAAAATTCTTGTTACACGCGATCACCCAGAGCAATTCCCCTCTTTGTTTTTGTAGGCAGTTTTCAATGGAATCAAAAAACCCAGATCACAAGAAATTTTCATCTTTCTATAATACAGTAGTGGTAACCTTTTTCCCATATCTTTACTCGTGCCGACGTAGTTACTGCTCAAACTCGAAAGATATCCCTCGCCAAAAAATCCACACGAGCCACCTTTTAAGTGGTTGAGAAGTTCGTCTGCCGCTAAGTTCCATATGTGGGGACGTTTTTAACGCAAAAAATCGATAGATCCCTGGATGGAATTTCGGAGCCTTTTAGACAGTTAGTTGTCCTCCGTGATCGATGTAATTGAGGCTTCCGCACGTTTCGACCAGAAGCCTCGATTAATAGAAAATGCTGGTGTTAAGTGCGAGTTTTCGCGTTTGGTTTTAAATTTCTGTTCGAAAAGCCATTGCCGTTAGAAACTGACAGCTTCTGTGCGATGGCGTGTGAAGGATACAACCCATAAAACCATGCGCGTACGTGGCGCGCCCCAACAATGTGGGAAGAGCAGTACAAACGGATCCAACATTGTTGGGCTACCCTTACCCTCCTTTGCTTTTTATCTCTCGCTTTAACTCTTTCTCTGTTATCCACATCAGTGTGGACATAATTAAAATTTGGTCACGAAAAGACTCGGCTTTGTTGTCTTTTTCTCTCTAAAAGTCCGGGTGGTCATACGATTTGCCGCCAAAACGCACCGGTGCTTGAATGAGAAATTTCACACCGCCTTATATGTAGGTACGGACGGTCGTGTGTTTACCAAAATTTATCGCACCTATAGGTTAACATTTTTCTTTACCCATGTTGCTCCGCTGCGGAGTTCCGCTTTATCACACCGGTTAACCCACTTAAAAATAGCACAGCGTTTTATCTAAATGAGAATTCCTGCATTTTATTCATGAGATAAAGACAAAACGTTATGACATTATCGGTGTTAATGTATTCCACTTCAGACCATAGTTAATAAAGTAACCATTTTCACAACAATGAGATTCCACTTCAAAAATCCTTACCAATCTATCGACATTATTGTGGTACCTTAGGGTGTCAAGTTTCATTAAAAATTTAACGTATCTATCTGGACTCTTTATTTTCAGGCTAAACCAAAAAGTGAAAGAAAGAAATCAATAACTTAAGCTGCCTGGCAACTAGCTGTGAGGTCATACATGGTACATGGCTGTGGTATCATGAGATGTTTAACTTCTATGTTGCTGCGGCGCAGGGTATCCAGGAGGAAGCCCCATTCCTCCAGCAGTGCTTCCAGGGCCGAGAAGAATCTTGAGAAGAGAGAGAGAAATAAGCATTTATTGAATAACAATCAATTTTAGCAAGAAAAAAAAAATGGTGTGAACGGTATACAACAGTCAACATGACGTCAGGGTTTATTCAAGAAAGTAGCCAATGAGGGCCCCATGGACACCATCCTGAAATTCAAGAGGGTCATTTGCAAGAAAGAAGGCCCAGTATGATCAACATTATCATACAGTTGAACCTCCATTAAGCAGCCACCTATTAAGCTGCCAGTAATCAAGGTCGTGAAATAATCATAGAAACGAATTGTCAATTAAACCTCTACTACGCGGCCTTTTCTATTAAGTGGCCACCGTCATCTTTTTAGCATCCCGGCAAGAGTTCTCCCATTGTTATTGTCACCTCTATCAAGAGGCCACCAAGCGGTTGATAAACTTAATTTGGCTTTATTTTCAAACCATACAATGAACGAAAATACAGTCCTAAATAGTAGGTAATGACTGATTGTGGACCAATAATGCTGCTCCCGTCAGGTTTGATTCAAAATGTAAGGATGTTTCTGATATTTATACTAATTAATGAAGAAGCTCCATTACAGCTATTGAGCGGCCAACGTTTAGGCAGTCTAAGGGGTACCCCAAGAATGGCTGCACAATGAAGATTCCACTGCATTTTTTTTTATAATCGCAGTTCTTATTTTGATCATTACTGCTATTTGAATTCTCAAATATCTATAAGAAATTTGCAGTTCAACTGCAAAGCAAAGTAACAATAAGTTACTTCATGGATGGTATATTGTTTATTTTCCACACTTTCACGACTCCTTTAACTAAGGCTAGCAAAATGTAAAAAAGAAAAGATAAATGGCTGCTGCAGGTTCTTTTTCAAGAATTGTTCTAAGAAACGTCTTGGCCACATGAATCATGCATGAGACAATGATTAAAAATAGTATGCATTGTTTTTTTATTTGCCAGTGGAGAGGATTTCTAACACTTTCATTAACAGCTTCTTGACTTTTAAGAACTAGTAACAGTAATCAGAGATCAACAAAGTGCGGTAAAGACGTTTAATTTCTGTGTTGAAAAGGAGAAGTGTGAGCATTATTCAAAGTATAAAATAAATAATGCAGTAGGAAAGTTTGCAGAGAGCGTTAATGACTGGAGGGTTGTGTTATTTCTGTCACATGTAAGTGGAAAACTGTAAAACGACAATGTTGATCACAGCATTTGTCTAGCTGTAATATTGAGAAACTGCAACTTGAAACAAAATGATTCTTTAAATAATTTATTAAAATAAGAACTACTAAGAATGGCAAATGGCACTGATGCTTACAAAGTCTTTTTGTCTGAAATAACTATTGAAAATGTCCATACAAAGGTAACTGGAATGGTGGCTACTGAACATCTATGTTTTAATGATTGAAGATGTTTTCAAAAATTGATCTAACCATGAAACCATTCTTTTTTTAACACCGTTTTCTTTTCTATGACCCCTATGATTGATTGAGCAGTGTTACTGCTAGAAAAATCAAATGATGGTCACCCTTAAAGGGTTAGAAGAGGTAGAAGGGTGCCCAGCAAAAACTGCAATTTCTGCGATTTTTCCAAACATTGCGAAAAATTGGAGAAATGGCAGAATTTGCTAAAATTATTAATTCAAGTGCTACAGGAGGTAGAAGGGTACCCAGCAAAAACTACAATTTCTGTGACTTTTCCAAAAATCACGAAACATTGGAAAAATCGCAGAATTTGCTAAAATTACTAAATTCAAGTGTTAGACCACTCACATATGAGATATTCGTTCAAAATAGCTCAAAAATAGCTCAATAAAAGGGGTTCATTGTCTCTTACTTCACTGTACCACAACAAAATCGTGAAAACTGAAAAAACTGTCAAGAATCTGTTGCAAATCTTGCTAATCCATATGTTTGTCAACATAAATCGTGTTCGATTTTTTAGGATGAAAAACCCAACCTATATAGACAAAATAGTGCTAACAATTATCTGTAAAGGCACCGAGATACACTTTTTAGCCTAGAGGTCTAGCATGCAACATTGGCAAGCAGAAGTAGCTTACATGAGGTTTTTTTGGCAGGTTTGAATCTTGTTTGCAGTCAGACTAACTTTTTTCTTACAATTTTATTCTTTCAATTTCCAGCCAATGCAATTTCTATGTATGTTTTGTGGCGTTCTGCCTTCAAGCATATTAAAATTATTACAATGACTCAGATAAGCATGTCTTTTTTCCCTCTTCAATGCAGTAGAACTCTCGTGTAGTTAATCATGCATCCACCACTTCATACAGGCTATTCAATAACTGATAAATGACAAGGTTTGCATTGAAAGCATTTAGCTTTGAAGCGAGTGAATGCAGGTTTCTTGTCATGATTACTACACACAACCCTGTGAGTAATGCCAGTTAGACTCTCAGACAAGCTTGGACAAAATAAGATGGAACAGTAAACCCACATCTCCCCAAATCAAGGCTGAAGGCATGCAGAAGCCAAAACGCAATATCTTCCCATCCTTGATTTCAGGGGGAGGGGGGGGGGTATAAATTCCCATTTGTTTTGTCTAAGATTAGCTAAGATTGTATGTTGTTTCTGGAGTGTGACCAAAAGTGTGACCGTCCAAACAAACAAATTCATTTCTGAAATTTTTATCGAAAATCGAACCAAGAAACTTCAATCTAGGGTTTTTACTTGAGCAACTCCGTTGGCCCTGAAATGGTTAATTTTGCGCCAAAACAAAACGCAACGTTCATGTCTGGGACGCCCTTCCCTACCCAGCTGAGTTAGGGGATGCCGAGGGCATCCCTCTTTTTTTCCAGGAGGCACGTGTATTTCCCATGGGGCTGCATTAATTGGATTAAAGAAGTTCTGTCCAGTGATGGTAGAGCTTTTATAATCCCTTACGATTTGCTGAAGCCAGTTTCCATAAAACTAAAAGAAAGATATAGGAAACCATAAAAACTGGATTACATAACTAAACCAGGAATTTTTCGCAGTTAAGCTTGTTTACTGATTTTGCCATGACACATCTGAAATCAGCCTCCCCATACGTGACCTTTATGAATGTCTATGAATATAATGCTGCTAAAATTTGTCCTGACATATGCATGGTTAGGTGAGTAAAGATTTGGCGCCTTTTTTCCGCTCCTGTCATTGTCTTTGTGCTGTTCAACAAGTCAGATGACTAAAATGTGTTTTTTGTTTCTTTTTTTAGGATCACAATGATACGCGTAATTTTCTCCAGTTCATACTAAGGTTGAACTTCTGAAACTTGACTGATAATGTTCCAGGCTACTGGCAAGTCTGGTGAAATATTTCGAGGTACGTATTTCTTTAAACAGAAAAGTCTATTTTCAGCTGCTTTTGCTTGTTTTTGATCGACTCGATTAGTGAGTATAACAAACATTTTTTTCTTTCCTTATTGTAGGTTGACCACTGGCATGCCCTGTTTTTGAATTTTCCATTCATTCCGGCCTCTCTCACTCTCTTCTCTCCTTCTTCTCTAAACATCAGGTCGAGTTACACCTACGCACAAACCTACTCAATTTAACATGACTCCATGCACCCCAGATTGTTGAGGAGGTATTGACAGATCACCACCTAGAATTCAGTTTCAACAGAAAATAATAACGTTTGAGTTCCCAGTCAAAAAAATTGCTGGGAGCAAACCAGGCTTAAACTGAAGTCCTTGTCACCTCCGGCATCCCCATTTGTTGCTACTTTTCTAGCAACAAATCTACTTGTTTACCCCTACCCCCAGAGTCTGTACATACATACATATGTACAGGCGTACCATGACGTCAAAACCAAATTTTCTGGCATTGATAAGGTTTCCATTTGCTATAAGTATAGGGCTCTGCTGCCCGCGAGGACGCTCTGCTATAATTCATTTCCATATGTAGTATACATGTACCCCGTTGAACATGTATGAAATAAACTTACTTGTCTCTGTTGTTGAAGTTGTGCTTCCTCTGTTTGCACCCTTTCTACCTCAAAAATGACAGGTAAGGCCAGTATGACAAATGAAGTACTCAGAATCCAGCATGTCTTGCCAGTGAATTTGTAAAGCCACTTAGCACTACTGAATATTCCCTTTGCTGCAGTACTTGTGCCATTGCGTACAGACTCTGGAAACATTTCTGTTAACCCTAACAGCCTCTCAGTTAAAGTCTCATCAATATCATCAAGATTCTGGGAAAAATATAACAAGATACTATAACTTAAAATAACAATCTTTAATTATCACTCTTTATCCTTCAAGATGTGAGATGATCTGGCTGCATGATCATAACATGATCTAGTAACACATGGAAATTATATTTTAGTTCATTCTTACAATTTAGTTTCTTGCAACCATACAATGCTAACAACTTAAAAGATTGTCCAAACTTTACAAACATCTACGTGGCAATAGGATATACAAGAACCTGTACATGATTTTGTTAAAAATTCTCCCACCGCCATGAACTAATGACCCCAAGGAAAATAGGTAAAGTGAACTTACAGTACAAGCCACGGGATTTGCAGCATTTACACACGTGTAAATTGCATACAATATGGCGGATTTACATGCAAAATATATGCCTGTCAAATTTTACACCAGCAATCACACACAGCTTAAATTACACACAAGATGCGTGTATTTATCATAGGAAATTTTCCTCACTTACTTTCACATGCAAGCCACGTGTATTTTTTGAATGGCAGATTTAAAAAAAGAAATCTTAATCTTTTACATAATTTTCAATTTCAGTAAGAACTTACATGTTGGAACGGAAATTATTTTGAATCATGTTTTTTACATTCAAAACAGCTCTTGTAATCTACGAAAGACTCTTTTTGTCACTTAGAACTGAAAAGTTGCAGTCTACTTCATACACTGCAATCAGCAGTAATACTGTGTTTTCTTTTAGTTTGTCATTGGTGATCACTTGTTTGGCCGAATTGAACTAAAGGCAATTTTTTACTGCATATTCATTTCAAAGAATTTCAGTCCAACCAAAATGTAGATACATGTTTTTAAAGGTTAACTACAGTGTCCCAAAAGTTCATTCCTCTAATTTCATGCACTATAACTTATTTTTACATGCAATTTCTAGAAGATGTTTATTTCTCTGTCAAGTACATGTGTTCAGAATTTCAGTCACTGGCATGCCCTTTTTGTTTTGTAACCACATTCTGTGGCCATTGTGGCAAGGAGTGGGATATAGCTTGTTGACCCACAGATGATCCATTTGGAGCTTTTTTATCCCCCGGTGTGCCGGAGCCAGTTCAACCCCTAAACAATATATGTTCAGTTTAGGCAGCTGAAAAAAAATATTTTGAGCATTCATCCTAAAAAGACAAGAACGCTCTAAAAGGGTTGAAGTCTCGCTTCCTTGGAGATAGCAAAGACGTGAGGAGGTGATTTATTCTAATTGAAACAGGATTTCCTTGCTGAAAGTTTTTCACTTCCTTGACGATGACTGAGAGAAATTACATCATTCCAAGAGAGAAAATAGTCCTCTGGGAGGACATGAGGTTACTGGCAATGAATAGTCTGTACGAAGAAAAGGGCAATGACGGGTACCTATGGTGCGAAGCATTAAACGCATAACGTCATGTGCTACAAGGACAATTATTTTGCAAAGAGAAAAGTACAACCTACAGATTAGTTAGTACCACACCACTTGAATTTTATGCATGTGACTGAATTACAATAGGCCTTATCACGATTTTGAAATCCATCTCGATGAATAGCAAGGCAACCGGGAGAGAAATTACCGTGTTTGTATGAGAATCTAATGTCGAATAATTTCTGTAAAAAGGTTCTACTGAAAAAATATTTCAGGGTATTACATGCAGCTACATCCACTAGAACCACTTTTTAAAATTTTTAATACATTTGTATGTAAAAAGTTCTCTTCCTGTCGACTAAAATTTCCCGAGGAAGATTGCAGACAAATATACAGAAAATCAAAAGCAAGCGTCTGGAGAAAATTATTTAAGCATAGTTACAGTCCCCAAACTTTGTTAGTTAAATCCTTTGCTGTTAGCTTCATATAATTCAAATTCTTTCCAGAACAGCCGTTGTACGGAAATTATTAGACATTAGATTCTCATACAAACACTCTAATTCCTCACGCGGTTGCCTGATTGTCAAGAATGGCTTCCAAAACTGTGATAAGGCCTATTAGTATTTCAATGTTTATTTGTAGTTGGGCAAGCTCCCGTAAGCAGCCACATCTCCAGCCACCACTTACGAGAACCATCCGTAAGCTCCAGTTATGGACACCTAGTGTCTTTTCCACAGTATTTGTTGATTGATAGGTCAATTTAATCTATTAAAAGTGATAATAACAATGTTTTATCACATTGATGAAAATCCATGAGCCATCTCATAAGAAAAAACTTTAGTGTTGTTAGCACCGCTATAAAAGATCGGGACAAAGTTCAATACGATCGAGTACTGAAAGAAAATCAGCACATATACGAATTTCGACAGCTTTCTTGTGAAGGCATCTGCACACTTGTCCAGAAGTCAGCTAAAATGACCTATACCTTTGATCCAAGGCCATCATCTATGGTTGTAGCCTGCCTGCCCAGAGGAACTTCTTCCAGTTATTTCTTGTATACTAAATTCTTCCTTAGCATTAGGTCATTTTCCATCTACTAGGAAAGACACACTTGTTGATCCATGCCTTAAGAAAACTGGGAAAGACATCTTGTTCTAAAACTTGCACCCTGTGAGCAACTTCCAGTTTATATTAAAACTTGCCGAGGGTGCTGCATTCAACCAGGTTCACGAGCACATGAAGTTTCAGCTTTACCCATTACTACAATCTGCCTATCATACCAGTTACAGCACTGAGACTGCCCTGCTTTATGTCCATAATGATATTCTGTTAAATATGGACAACCAGAGGTTAACACTGCTCATACTTCTTGACAGACCCAAGTGCTGCATTTGACACTCGACCACCAGGTGTTGCTCAAGCGATTGGAATATAGCTTTGGAATATCTGGGACAACACTGAACGGGTTTAAGTCATACCTCATTGGTCGATCTCAGTGCATCTGTTTTTAAAGCTGCTACTCCGAGAAGTTCAATCTACCCCATGGTGTCCCTCAATGTTCATGCCAAGGTCCCTTACTGTTTACAATATACGCTAGCAAGTTGTTCGAAATAGTCAAGGCTCATCTCCAGGACGTGCACGCCTATGCAGATGATACACAGCTTCATCTCTCGGCAGGCTTTTAGCCAGACATTAAAAACTGGCCATTCAGAAGGCACGTTTTCCCATTTTCAAGTGAATTTTTATTGTATTTCTTCCTAAAATGAGTGTCCATAGGATTGCTGGACAACATTCTGGGTAAAACCTTGTGTCTTGTTTAAACAGGATTCTCATCCCAACCAGGCAGAAACTGTGGGTGCTATGAAGGAACGCCTTGAAGATATCAGGGCTTGGATGGCAGCAAACCAGTTAAAGCTTAATGATGACAAAACCGAGATCATTCTAATTGGCACTCAGCAACAACTTGATAACATGAATATTTCACACCTAAATATTGCTCACGCAACCATGCCACTTGTCAGTTCCGCCATCTGTAATCTCAGTTCGTGGTTTGACATAAACCTTACGATGACACTACAGGTTAACAAGACTTGCCAATCCACCTCCTATCAGTTGCATAATATTGGACAAATAAGGAAGTTCTTGACTCCTATCTCCAATGAATTGCTTGTGCAAGGTGTGATCATGGCACGCATTGATTATTGTAATAGTCTTCTTTATGGTGTACTAGCTGGTGCATCTTTCTAAATTACATCGTCTTCAGAATTCTCATCAACCATACACCAAGATTCTGTCATATATTGCCAGTAGTGCATGCACTCCATGGCTATCGCCAGTAGTGCATGCACTCCATGGCTACCTGTGAAGTTCTGAATTTACTACATTATACTACTACATGAGAAATTTCTGCAATTTGATTGGCTTAGAGCAGTGGTATTTCAGCCTAATTTGAAATACGTACATGTGAAAATTACAAACCTTTTGTAGGTAGTAGTATAAACAAATAATAGCATGATTTGTATGTGATATTTGGCATAAATACTACCACTTGTGACACTTTCAAAATTGTCTCAATTACGTATAACAATTTTGAAATATCACTCGTGGTATTTATGCCAAATATCACTACAAATCATGCTATTACCTATACAAATTGCTATTCACAACCTTGGGCTGGCATATTTAAGGACCTGATAAATATTAGATGATGTTCTCACTACCACCTTCGGTGTATTGTGGGAGTTTTTTTGCGACACTTTTCTGCTAAGTTCAAACGTACTCTTGGAGACATATTATTATTTTACTGCAGCTGCTCCAAAGATGTGGAGCGTCTTACTGGACTGTATTAGAATAAAGAAGAATTTCGACATATTTAGGAAACTCCTTAAGACCTACTATTTAAGAAAAGCCTACAGTGACTTGGTTTAAGTTATCTGAGGTTCTTTTTCTTTCTACTCTTATTTCCTTTTTTACCTCCTACTCGCTTTTAGTCATGTTCAATTACTGATGTAGCAATTGACTGTAAATAGTTTCAATGACTGAATTATATCTCGCATGTTGATTGGCTAATTGTTATTATCAAGAAGAGGACAGACACATAAAATTTTAATTTATGCAAGACGTGGTCATTTGCCTAAAGAATTCCAAACTTCGATGTTTTTGCTAAGTTTAGTTTTGTAGAATATTGACTTTCTGTCCACTGAGGAAAATGGCCAGATAGCTCTGGTGCAAGACTTTTACCATGTATGGATTCTCTGCTAAAAGCTCATGCGGAGGAAACTAAACAAGACACTTAGGTGCATTCCATTTGTCAGAACTGACTGGCCAGACCATTAACCATTTCTGTCGTAATGGCATAAATTAACTAGTGAGTGAGCCTGAAGCGAGCGAATGAGGCAGCTCTCTAATCGGCAAAAAATTACATTATAGGGGCATTCAATCACTTTTTCTTACCAAAGCAAGGAATTTTCAAAGGTCTAATTAGAAAACAAACAACTTTGTACGTGCTGCATACTTTTACAACATACATACATACATACGGTTAATCAAAGCAATTAAAAACAAAGATAAATATATACAAAGAAAGCTTTAAAAAGGGATTTTAAGAGCCTGGCTCTATGTAAACAAAAGAAAAATCTTAAAAATATTCTAATAATAAAATGTAATGTTAAAAATGTATGTCCAAAAGGTAGCTAAAAATAAAGTCAATAAGGAATAAAAAGAAAATACCACGAAATATTTAAAAATGATCCTAAAGAACACTTAAAACATGCAAGATTTCCTGCCCCGACAACCCACTCAGGTAAATCATTCCATTCTTTTACAATTCTCACAAAAAATGAATATTTGTAACCTTTACAACTATAGATGCTTGAAACTTCAACTTGTAATTATGATTACATCTTGTTTGTTTTGATGCTAACTGGAAAAAGTCTTGAAATTCGAGATTACTTAAAGAAAATATACATTTATAACACTCGATCAGAGAAAAATACAGTCTTCCATTCTTTAATGGCGACCACTTTAAAATGGAAAAACCTTCCTCATGGTCCATTTCGCCCCTCTTTTAGCCTAGAGCTAGTCTTGATGCTCTCCAGTTGCAGAAGAGACTTACACTTTGACAACATTTGTTGATCAGAAGCTAAGTCTCTCAGTCTATTCTAAATCGACATATGATAGTTTGGTCTGGCTGGGATAAAAATATCTGACTGCCGGTCATTATATTTATTACAGTTGCTCTCCAGTTGCAGTTGGCCAACACTTAGAGACTGAGAACCGAAGGCACTCACGATGAATTCACCATAGTCGATGCCAAGGCAGAATGAAAGAAAAGTTCAAAACCTTCGTATATTTGGGTTGGTTTTCGGAAAACAGAACACGCTAAGACCCGCAAAATAGAGTAGCATATGGATAAAGAAATAGCATCACTGGAGCAAGCAGCCGTTTAATATCTTTCAAGAATATTTTCACAAAAAGCAACATTTTATAAGTCTGATATTTTGACTAGGGGGTTAAGCACTGAAAATACTAATTTAAGCACTAACCGTACTGATTAGGGTTAAGCCCTGAGAATAGTGATTAGGGTTAACAGTTAGCTTCTATTCTGGGTTGGGGTTTATGCTATAGTATTTGAATAAAATCACCAACTTGCAGAGAAACCACGGTGGTGTAGTGGTTAGAGTAGTGGTATGCACCCCTTATGCTCTGGGATCAAATCTGCTCATATTAGAGTGACTTTTTTTCCCTTTAAAATTGAAGAGACTCACACTTTGACAACATTTGTTGATCAAAAGCTAAGTCTCTCAGTCTATTCTAAATAGACGTATGATAGTTTTGTCTGGCTGGGATTCTTCGATTTGTCAAAATTATTGAAAAAATATCGGACTGCCGGTCATTCAGTGTTTTGAAAATCTTGACCAGTTACCAGCCATATAGCTGCAGCCTTTATTATTTTCCAAGCAAATTTCCTTCTGTTCTAAGAAAGAATCACACAAGCAGGATTAGAGCTACGAGCCCAACATTTATGTATCACATTTATCAAAAATTGAACATAACTGCCCTCAAAAATTGTTCACTGAATTGGTGTTTCAGGGGCGGATCTAGGGGAGGGTGCAGGGGGTGCGCACCCCCCCCCGGAGACGATTTGCGGTTTTCTAATACAACTAGTATTCTGCAAAAAATACCTATGTGGTTTATTGGTGTTGAAGTAGTGCAAGAGACGAGTGCACCCCCTTCTAAAAAGAATCCTGGATCCGCCCCTGTGTTTGATTCGTGACATGGGTGGCCAAGTTAATGTTGTGATTTCATTGACTTTTCTTAAACCTATCATGTAGCGCAGACCACAGTCGAACAAATTCCCTTAAAGTTGGCAGATGAAAGGAACAGTCTTAAACTCAAGAATTTTAAGTTTTGTGGAAATCACTAGATTTTTGTGCAAACAGAAAGACTGAAAACCATAATTAGAAAATTTGCTTGTATCGCCAAACCAAAGCTTCAAAATAAATTTCAGTCATTCAGTTGAAAGCGAGAATGATTGAACTTATACATATCAAAAATTGAGAATTATCTGGCCACTTCTGACGTGGCACGAGCATGTTAGAAAAATACTAAAACTAGCTCATAATTAAGTTAGTCATGCACCTTAAACGCGATACTCAAAAGGAGATAATTTCTAAATTTAGGTCATCACTGACTGAGGGACAAAGATTTTGGATAGCCATCTTAGCCTGATATCACCGTCTACTAAAAACTTCACACTTAATTTTCCATTTCTTCACTAGTCCTTGCTTACGGCAGCATTTCTACCCTTTAGGTATACTAGTTAGTATCAACAACATTGTGGTCGATTATGTTCCATTTTTAATCGAGTAACGAAATATTATCGATTAGATGATGATCACTTCCTGCTTTAATATTGTACCTTGATCGCGCATGATCATTTTATCACTTCAAAGCACAGTCCACGATTATTACATATAAAGCAGGAAAATTCCCTTTGCACAAATTTAATGCTAGCATTGATCCAAAAACCAGGGCAGGTAAACAAACCTTTGAATAAGGTCAGTTCAACTGGATCCAAATGCACCCGACGATACAATTCCATCAAAATCACGATACCATTCAATCAAAAATCAATAATCAATAACATCAGATAACAGTAAAAAAAACATTTTAATAAAAACCAAACGCCACGTGCTTGAGTGATTTTTGATTTTCATTAGTATTTACTGAATACTAAAAAGTGCTTTCTTTTTGTTTTAAACATGTCGCACGCCTTAGAAAATAAACCCAGTTAAGTTTTCATGATCCAATCTATGATAAATTAAAAACATAAATAAGTACAACGTAAACAACAGTACAAACAACAATTTATTATCTTCCTGTAATGAAAACAGGCAAAAACCGTAACTGAAATGTACTTTGAATAAATGCATATGTGTAACTCGCGTTCAATGCTTGTGGATATTCACTTTTACCATATTTGGAAACCTTAGCGACACAGGGTTTGCAAATTTTATTGATGGGTGGAGTCAGTGTGACTTCTGCTTCACAAATTTTGGAGTCATTTTGGAATATTTGGAGTCTATTATCACAACGCAAAAAGCCATTTTCAGCCTTTCCAGCACGTGGTCCTGGCATGCATACATTATTGTGAGGGTAACACTAAGTAGCTGTGGCAGTCTGCTGACCTGGAAAGCTCAAATCCATGATGGCAGTCATCGAGTAAACTTGATCGTAATTTATCCTCTTCCTGTTTTGTCGTGCAGTATAATTCTTTAATTTCGATGATTTAATTAAGGTTTGCAACGTTTACAATTAACGCAAATTGTATTTGTTGCAAAAAAGGTAAGGACAAAACTGTGTTTCTTACCGAAAATTTCTGGAGTCGAAGTGACTACCTCTGTAACCTCGGCGGAGTCATCTGAACAATTTCGGCGTAAAATACGCCGGATTTGGCGTATTTGCTAACCCTGTGACAGATATCCATTATCAACACAATGGCTGCCGCACAATCACCATGCAGAAGTTTTAAGACAAGAGTTCCGCATTCCAGGCTGAAAAATACACCGTTAAAAGACAAAAAAATGGAAAGAAAAAGTTCAAAAGAATGCTCAGCTTTCTTTTTGTGGTGGAAGGGAAGCTTTTCATCAAGAAATCGTCCTTCAAGGAATTCAACTTTGTTTTCATCAAAACGACGGATCTCTAGTCTGTTTTGTATGGGAAATGCAACCAAGGCAGTGAAGTTTTTGCTGAATTTTCAGGTACATTTTGCACTCTATGGCCAAGACAATTACGTTTTCTGTAGTTTTAAATGTTTCATAGACGTTTTATAAATTTTTCTCTTCGGCGCTAAAGAAAAATTACAAAATGTGCCCCGATTTGAGATGGATTTTGTGTTGAATTTCGCCATGTACTCAGCCGATTTCACTTGCATGAACGGATCCAAGATTGAGATAGTGTTTTCCGAATTGCTTTAAAGATTAACTTTTTGGATTCTGAATAAAAATTTTCAAGAAATGGCTTCTCTGTCTATTGTTTTGAGTTTGTTCATTCATAAAATTAGCTCAAAACACGATCGTGACTACAACATTCAAGCTGAATTTAAGCTTAAATGCTTCTGACATTCATTACACGCATCACTTTTTGCAAAGGTGTCAGGTTCAGGTTTTGGACACTTTTCGAAAATACTTTTTACTGTTTATTCTAGACTTTTAATATAAGAATTTAAAAGCCTATTTGCATTATAAGTTTACTGTGCAGAGGGTCAACAAGGCATCATTTTTTGAAGTGACAACTTCAAGAAGTTGCGAGGATGTCAAAGGGTTTCATAATGTTACGTTTCGCCTGGGTGGTAAGGCAACAATATCCTGCTCAGTGTTTCAGTAAGATTCCTGGTTTCAACCTTTGAAAGCTTTCTTGGCTTTCGCGAGTTTTCCCCCCATTTGTCAGACATTTTTTTAAGCAGGCACGGGAACCTGAAGTAAAACTACGTCACGTTGTTTATGAAGTTTGATTGGTCAGTTATCTCTTCTTCTCATTCCAAATATGGTACTTTCGAAATTGAATAATCACGAGCATCGGACAAAACAAACATCTGAGAGTTACACGTTTCAACCCCTTATGAGTTTCCGGTTTAACTGAACATGATGTTATATATACAAGACCTCGAGCCTGCCTTTAATTTTGTTTAGTACATAATTTATTGAATTTATTCTGAATTTATGCTGAATATATCAGAAAAATCTCTTAAAAAGTCACACATCAACAATATACACAAACATGTCCACTGTGACAGGTAAAATTGTAAGGTCCACGAGAAAAACACACGTCACGCTTAATCCCTCATAAAATCTGGTGAACAATTTGAATAGCCAAACTATACATGCAACAGCTGGCCAACGTTTACCCGTGCTACTGAAAGAGAAGATAAAATAACTACAGAAAGTTTTACTTCTCGGTTTACTGTTCTTACGCAGAAATATCTACTTAATGTGGCTGAAGTTAGGTTGACAAGCTCCACTTGGAGATGGCCAAGCTGGTCTCTTTCACTGAAGACTTTGAATGCATTACCGTGTTCTCCCTTCTTTTAGGAAACGGAAAACACTTCCCCTTCCTTCACTTTAGAAGGACAGAGGTGATACCCCTTGACTACACAGGATACAGAAATTTCCACAGACATAACAGCGCTGTTGTGTTCGCGACCACGTTTAAGCGAAAGCCTAACCGGGTGCACAATCAGCTATTGATTATCAATAACAATAAATGAAAATCAATAACGTTTGGATGCATCGGTGAGTGATTATCGATATTTCTATTGATTGGCTACGCCAATCAACATCAATCCATAGGTTTTTGTTGCTTTTTATTGATAATATAGATTGAAATCAATGATTGATATTGTCGGGAAACGTACCGCACCGACAACACACGTACAGACAAAATGGCAACGTTATAAGAACTTGGAAGAGAAAAGAAAATACCAAACACAAAGGAGAACAAGTTGCATATTAAGCAAAAAAATACCTCATCATCCAAGGTTTCAATTTCAGGCATCGTGAATATACTTTTAGGTTTTTTTTCACCTCGAAACAGATCGCTCCACACGAGGGATATCGAAGGTAACCTGGCCAGGAAAGGAAAGCCGATTAGGCCTGGGGTTAACAACCGTGAGCCTGGGCTTGGACTNAATTTGAATAGCCAAACTATACATGCAACAGCTGGCCAACGTTTACCCGTGCTACTGAAAGAGAAGATAAAATAACTACAGAAAGTTTTACTTCTCGGTTTACTGTTCTTACGCAGAAATATCTACTTAATGTGGCTGAAGTTAGGTTGACAAGCTCCACTTGGAGATGGCCAAGCTGGTCTCTTTCACTGAAGACTTTGAATGCATTACCGTGTTCTCCCTTCTTTTAGGAAACGGAAAACACTTCCCCTTCCTTTAGAAGGACAGAGGTGATACCCCTTGACTACACAGGATACAGAAATTTCCACAGACATAACAGCGCTGTTGTGTTCGCGACCACGTTTAAGCGAAAGCCTAACCGGGTGCACAATCAGCTATTGATTATCAATAACAATAAATGAAAATCAATAACGTTTGGATGCATCGGTGAGTGATTATCGATATTTCTATTGATTGGCTACGCCAATCAACATCAATCCATAGGTTTTTGTTGCTTTTTATTGATAATATAGATTGAAATCAATGATTGATATTGTCGGGAAACGTACCGCACCGACAACACACGTACAGACAAAATGGCAACGTTATAAGAACTTGGAAGAGAAAAGAAAATACCAAACACAAAGGAGAACAAGTTGCATATTAAGCAAAAAAATACCTCATCATCCAAGGTTTCAATTTCAGGCATCGTGAATATACTTTTAGGTTTTTTTTCACCTCGAAACAGATCGCTCCACACGAGGGATATCGAAGGTAACCTGGCCAGGAAAGGAAAGCCGATTAGGCCTGGGGTTAACAACCGTGAGCCTGGGCTTGGACTGAGTTGGACGAAAGTTGGACGGAGCCCGCCTTGAGGAATACCTCTTGTTAAACATGGCACCACAACCAGAGGCATATTATACTTGACGAATTTTGCTAATTTTGGAGCATAGTGGAAACGTAAACTAATAATGTCGGACCCCTTAAGCGTTTATCTTTCGCAGTTGCACTCTCTACTCTCGGCTAATTCACTACAGCGTGGCGTAGATGCAGTTAACACGGCAGTAGACCTCGGCAGTTTTTGCTTGCAGAACGTCTCGGAACAGGAACAAGGTAAGCTAGAAATCGTCAAAAGTTTGATTCATACCTTTTAGAATATCTTTCAATTTAACTTTAACAGTACATTATATCTACTAGTAAGCGTATTATTATTCATGCAAAGTATTTCTCTGTTTCTGATTGGCTCAAATCCCGCGGCTAATTCTCCATAACCAGCTAGCGCTGACGTCTAATTGTAAACAATTACTGGATGAGGGTTTTGTGATATCCAGAATAATTAAGGTCGATGTAGGTGTTCGGCTGAGGCTGATAACCCTAATCGAGACCTTGATTATTCTGGATATCACAGAAACCGAATCTAATAAATTGTTTTATTATACATTGAACAAATCCTTTCTTTCTCGCTTTGACTTGAACGTTTTCAAAGTTTGTGCCAACTCTTTCTTTTCCTCAGGCTCTCTCAGTTTTTTCTCTTTCACGTAATCAGCAAACAGCTCCTTTGCCACCTTTGTTGACCTTTTTGTGTTTTTGAGTCCTTGTCTTCAACTACTTTTTTGATGTCTTGCTTGGTCAACGAAGCAAACCTGGAAGTCATGTTTTTGCTTCTTCACTGATGGCAAGCAACACAAAGTGCGCGAACTTGACATGATTACCCTTAGAAATCATGCACCGTGGTCATACATGACATGATTACCCGTGACCTTGAGTGTCCTTGACATGATTAATGTATAATCTGCAGCCTGATAACATCCCAGGCGCTGATTTCGAAAATTCGCTGTACGCTTTCGGCCAATCAGAAAAGAGATAGTGAGTTTAATGTATAATAATTCAAAATAACTGCCAGAAAAATGAACGGCAAGGTAGAGGCCCTGGGAATGAGGTTGTGTTGTTTCATTAGAGAAAGACAAAATGGCGGAACAATTTGCATGTTTCACAAAGAAGAAATAGTGCGAACTACTGCCTAAATACACAGCAAGAACAGGTAAAGTAGAACTCTATGGATGACCTCTGCTATTTGAAGAGTATCTGGTAGACTTAACATTCCTTTATATCCTGAACTTACTGAGAAACAGGCAAATGAAGAAGGGAACTTAAGGTCTATATGTATCTTTGACCTCTTACATGAAAGGTCCTTGGGAATGAATGCACGGAAAGTGAACGTATGGCACATCTCCGGATGAGAGAGGGATACCCGTGCCATTCAAAACAGAATGGCCAAATGGATGCATGGATGAAGAAAATTTTTGCACGGATGTAGTCAAACAGATGCGTGGATGAGAAAAATTTTTGAACGGATGCAGTTGAACGGATGAACCGCCGATAAAAAGTTTTGAGCGGATGAAGTCGAACAGATAAATTGCTGAAGAGAGTATTTTTGAATGGATGACCGGCTGAAGAAATATTTATTTTTGAATGGATGCGGTCGATTGGCCAGACGATCGAAGTATATTATAATATTATCTTAATCACCTTTCTAGAACAAGCGCCTTTGCAACTTTATAAGAATGAATGACCGTAAGCAGAAGGTCATGATACAAAGACAACTATCGTCTCCTCAATATATTACGGCTAGCGTTCCTCAAGGCTTAATCCTCGGTCCCCTATTATTTATACTTTTCGTCAATGAACTTCTATTGGAAGTGTCCAGAAATAGTGTCAAAATTTACACTGATGATACAACATAAATTGCATGTGGACGTACTGTTGAAGAAGAAGAGACCATCCTCACTCATGAACTGAGGCTTCTAAGCAGATGGGCCAATGAAAATAAAATGGTTTTAAACCATAGCAAGACAAATTCAATGATTGTCTGCAGCAAACCAAAGTTTCAGGGCTTGGACAGTGAAAATCTTAAAGTGAGAACAGATAAGGGCCAACTCGATTCTGTAGTGGAAAGTAAACTACTTGGCATAAAGTTCTAGACAACTGTTTAACCTGGGAAAACCATATGGCTTACATAAAGAAAAAATAGGGAAGCGACTTTGCCTGCTGAAAATAACAAAGAAATTTCTTTCCCTAAAAGCAAGAACTTTGCTCTATAACTCTAATATATAGATTTAGCCAGGGCTAAAAGCGAGGCTCCCATTAATAAATTTATAATTTAAATCAAACAATAAACTTGTATTCCACAATTCAGTTAACTTTAGAGCACATTCATGTGACTTTTCAGGGAAAGGCTAAGTGATTTTACAAAAAATAATTTGCAAACAGCCCAAGAGTGAACCAAATCTCACATCGAGTTGATAGCCTCATAAATACACCCAAAAACTGGCAATCATCTTCGACCACATTTATTAAGAGCCATAATGGCTCTTGATCACTGTAGATTAATTAGGCCTGGAAAAAAAATTCCGGCCGAATTTTTTGCGTTCGACAAGTTTATTTTACAAAATCTTGCCAACAAATCTGGGTGCGTGTAAACCAACCTTTTATATCATTTATACATCACATCTGAGGTGAAATAGTACTATGAGGCACTGATTTTATCATACAGACCTTGGACAACAGAATGCAGTATTTCACAATATTGCGATACAAATTGCTATTCAGGACGATCGAAGCACGCGTGGGCTTTAGCCGTAAACCGTTGAAAAAATTTTCAAAATCATCTATACGGCCCGGTTCTGACTTTTACAGTGCTAGCAGTGGCGAGTGTTTGAACGAACATTAACAGAGTTACGCTCCAACATAATAAAGAATTTATTATGTTTATTTTTTATTTTAAAACGGTTTAACGCGTGGCATTTTGAGTACTCCGGGAAGCGTTGTTTACTGAACGACTGAAAACAATCGGCACAAGGATTAAAATTACAAGAGAGAGTACTAACAATCAATAAAACAAATACAATTCGGTAAAACTTATACAGAGACGACAATTTTCATTCAGGAAGACAAGTATTAAAGTGTCTCTAAAAATGCTGAGTCTTCGAGCTTTAAGCTGAAGCTTATTTTTAAGCCAGCTTCCCGGTGTTTGCTTTTTTCAAAGACGAACTCGAGGCAAGAAAATCGCTCAAACCTTTCTTTTACAGCCAGAATTATAACTAAATATTCTTTGAAACGTTTTCTTTCTATTTGCGGTGAGAAAATGTCTAAAGGCTTTTTAAAGATCTGTAAGCTTATAACAAACCTGATACTCGGTCAGATCATTGTCTCAAATCTTACAAACGTGCGTAAACAAAATAGCCGCATAAACTACGCTCGACTTCATTAAATTAGGAATAAAAAACAAACATCAAATACAATAATTACTTAGGCTTACCACTCGAGATGCAGCTCCTGAAAGGTATCAAGTAAGGCCAGTATCGCTTCAGACTTTGCAACCCTCTTACGCATTAAGCAAGATGAAAACGAAAACGATGCCATCCGAAATCGGATTTCCGACTTTGACTCAACCAAAAACCCAATAAACAAACTAGCCATGAATAACAGAAGACTCCTGATAGCAGCTGAATTTCATTTTGTACATCCAGTGGAAAAAGAAAGTTAAAAACATCACAAGTTGACACAAAACTCTGTCAGCTTCAGCTGTCAAAGTAAACAAGATTCAAGATGCTGCATAAATTTTCCGCATGAACTCACCTGTCAAATTTTGACCAATCAGAGCATAAAAATTGGACGTAGAGCGTGACCAACGCGTGAACATGGCGAGAAAAGTCAAAAGCAACTGTCTTCCCTGCCTGTAGCAGCTGGCTGAATTTTCGCGTCCGAGGTCAGTTTGAAATCAAAATTTTAATTGTGCGGCACATAAACACAACATATTTCATATGAATTTTAAAAAAAATTAAACTTGAGCCTGCGATCATTTGAAAACCAGTACCTTGTCAGCGGATAACTTCAAAAAAACACTTGACCTCGATGGGTCGACACCTGAGCCCGCGATACAGTCAAGTGATACTGGTCAGCGGATACCTTGTTTTGACAGCTGTCAATGGATCACAACATTGACGTGTATCAGTTTTCCTGTGCTCCGATCCCAAACTAGCTAGAAAGTATGAGACTGAACATTGATTGCGATCTAGTAAAATAATTAACTGGTCAGCGGACAGCTTCCAAATAAATCACGTCACCTCAATGAGTTGACACATGAGCCCGCGATATGGTCATGGGATGCTGGTCAGTGGCTACCCTGTTTTGACAGCTGTCAATTGACCACATTGTGAATGTCCAATGTAAAAGATGTGGACTTGGCAAGACACGCCTGAGACACCCCTCCCTTCCTTTTGATAGTCTCCCCTACCCACCCGTACAATCCGTAGACGCATACTTACATACGTACATACGTACGTACGTACGTACGCTCAGTCAATCACGTGACAACCAAAGGAAAAGAGGTTGACCATAATCTATGGGTATGGGGCTCAGTCCCACGCGCTTTGCGCGCGTGGGAGCCCCGCTATTATCCAGCCAATATTTGACTATGGGGCGATTGTCTGGGGATCCAATAACAAACGGCATGTCCAAGATATTGTCAAATTGTAGAAAAGATGCCCCAGAATAATCCTGGACAAAAAAATGGGACACTTCCTCAAGACCTCTATTCAAGAAACTAAATATCTTGCCATCTGATGAAAGACTAGGAGTACTAGCAGAATATCTTAGTTTTTAAGGCCCTCAACAATCTCACACCAAATTACATAAGAGCTATGTTTACATTGTCTAGTGATATTCATAATGCCGGCATGAGAAACACAAAGCACAATTTGATACTACCAAAGGTTAGGATGAGTGTGGCCTAAAATGCTTTCAGGTTTTTAGCAGCTAGGAGCTGGAACAAAAAATGACCATACAGGGCTCGACATTGCAACCGTATTGGTCGCATTTGCGACTAAGTTTTATCCATTTGCGACTAAAACGTCTTCAGCAGCCGCAACTTTGCAACCAGTTTTCACCTAAATTAATAAAGAAATGAATTGTTCCTTTGACAATGTAAAGGCAAAATCCTGCTCAAGTTCCAAACAACACAACGTATAAACAATGTTACACAATTAGCTCGATGAGATGCCATTACAGCAGTTTTGTTATAAATACGTAGGTACTTCATGTATGGGGACTGATTCCTACAACACAAAAACTGAACGTCATTTGTGAAAGACTTTTTTTAGGAAAAAATTATAACAATAGTACTGTGCAACAAAATTGGGAACCTGGAAACTAGATAGATAACAATTATGAAGGGTGTCGGAAATTTAAGATGTTTGGCAGTTTGGTGGAAACTCAGTGCACGTACGCCACGTTTGATCGCTGTGAATTGCTGAAAACAAACATGGCAGCTTTTTGGTGGCACTTGTTTTCGTTTAAAAGACTTCATGAGGATTCTGATATCTTTCTGTTTTGGCTTGATTTAGACTTCTTAAAAGATATAACTCACGTTCAAACAGAGACTTTGCCGTTTTGAGGTACAAGTGGAACAAAAAAGTGAATGTATTAAAAATGTCAATGTATACACAAGCTTTGCGCTATTTCTGTAAGAATGTTTAATAATTAAAGCCCAGTGCAAACGGACGCAACATTGTTGGCCAGCAACTCCCAACATTGTCGGATGTTACATGTTGCGTCTGTTTGCACACCCTGTTGCATGTTGTTGGATGTTGTTGCGCCAAGTTTGAAACTGGTCAAACTTTTCAGCCAACAACTCCCAACATTTCTTTTGTTCTGTGATCGCCGAAGCGTAGCGCAACAATGTTGGATCCATTTGCACGGCTCTTCCAATATTGTTGGGGCCACGCACGCTCATTACGCATGGATTACAAAGACTTATGGGTTGTATTCTTCCCACGATGCACTGCAGGTCCCAACGTTGCTGGAAGTTGTCGCATCCATTTACACACCACTGCCAACACGCATGCAACAACTCCCAACATTGTTGGCGCAATAATGTTGGGAGTTGTTGCGCCCGTTTGCATGCAGCCTAAGAGCTTGGTGTATTTAGCAATGGGAGACATTACAGGGATTTCACATAATTAAGAGACGATAAGATTAATGATTGTTTCTTTTATTGAATTTTAACTTGAGTACAAGTTATCATTTAACAGGATTATTTGTGTGGATTGTACGTTTTCGAAATTGATCGAACTTTGTAATTTACGATCTTGATTGTGCTGTCAAAGTAATTCAGAAACTGTTTTTCAGACATCATTAGAAATGAATAAAAGTTGCTGAAATCAAAGAGTGATTAATGTAGTAGTCAAAGTACTTATTAATAATTAACTTATGCTTTGCAACTAAATTTTGAGAATTTGCATCTAACTTAAATTCTTAACTGGTCGCAAAAATGCAGCTTCACTTTTTTTTTAAATTTCAAGCCCTGCCATAACATTTGTATGTAGGACTTTCTTGATTTTGTATATTTATTCATTACTTAATTTTTGTTTCATTTTTTATGTGTAATTTTTGGTTGAGGACTATGCGTATATTATCTGTGTATATCAAGTGAAACCCTCAGTAAAAAAATTATCTATCCATCTGTTTATCTGTCTATCTCTCTATCTATCTATCTGTGTGTCTGTCTGTCTGTCTGTAATAATGCACCTATCAATGTTATGCCGGCGGGGGCAGGGGGGGGGGGCAGGGTATGGGGTGGGCTTTTTGACTTTTTTCAAAAATTTGCAATCAAATTCCCGTTCCATGGGCAAATCATTCCAGTCAAATGCAACCAAATTTCCCCACCCCGGGCTGTACATTGCTGCCAATCCCAAGGCAAGACCCAAGAAAGGTACAATAAAAATATCTCCAAATAAATCTCTGCAATTTCTTATCAACCTTGCTGCACCACCAAAGATACAAGTCATGTTCCTGTTACATCTGCAATATTATTACACGTTTTAACCATAATCCGTGTTACACTGCATAGAATACATAAACCTTTAGAGAAAGTCCACATTTNGGGGGGGGGGGGCAGGGTATGGGGTGGGCTTTTTGACTTTTTTCAAAAATTTGCAATCAAATTCCCTTTCCATGGGCAAATCATTCCAGTCAAATGCAACCAAATTTCCCCACCCCGGGCTGCACATTGCTGCCAATCCCAAGGCAAAACCCAAGAAAGGTACAATAAAAATATCTCCAAATAAAACTCTGCAATTTCTTATAAACATTGCTGCATCACCAAAGATACAAGTCATGTTCCTGTTACAGCTGCAATATTATTACACGTTTTAACCATAATCCGTGTTACACTGCATAGAATACATAAACCTTTAGAGAAAGTCCACATTTTGTAAGTTTAAATATACCGTTCTTAGTAAAGGGTACAAAGAAAGTCAGTTTTATAAGTTTACAGTGATTGTAGCGAATGAGCCATACGCTAACTAATTGTACTTGCAAAAATCGACTTGGTTTCTCTTTACTCGCGTTTACTTTGATACCATGTGCAGTATTTTTTAAGAGGTTCAATTGATCAAAAACACGCTAAAACAAACGAAATTTGAAGCCAAAACCAGTGAAATCAACCCAGGCTTCGCTTGTTCTCATTGGCCTCCATAACTTCCTGATCTTTTCAAACCGTACGGCGCATGTGTGAAGCGTGGAAGCAGGAAACATATGTTCGGTCTCAGTCTTTTTCGTCCGAGTCGGCAGTCAAATATCTCCACGTCGGGCGGAGAAAGATTCAAATATCCCCTCCCCTGGGAGAACAAGATCAGTCAAATGCCCTACCCCAGGGCCAACAAAGACAATCAAATCCCCACCCCATGCCCTGCCCCCCTCCTGCCGGCTTTACATTGATAGGTGCATAATAATATTAATAACTTTGATTTTAAGAGGGTGACACCAATTACTATGTTGTCCAAGTTGTCCAAGGTTGTAATTAAGTATTCCGGTGCCCTATTATCAATAACTTTCTTTAAAAGGCTGAGTTTATTGACCTTGAATAGTTGATCAACCGGTAGCCACTTAAGCTTTTGAAAATTATCATACGATCGTGCATCCCGAGGACTATCCAAAATTAATGGAGCACAGCGTTTCTGAAGTTTAAACAATTCGTCTAAGTTGGTTTGGCTACAGTTGCTCCAAACAGTACAGCAATAAGTAAAGAGTGGTTTGATACTTGCATTGTAGAGAAGCATTTGATATTTGGCTGGTATGTATTTCCAAGCTCTTGCTAAAATTGCAATTCTTTGAAGTAGTTTTCGGCGCAGTGTGTCAATGTGTTCGTTCCAGGTGAGATGACTATCAAAGTATACTCCTAAGACACGTTCTGACTCAACCTTAGTGAGTTGCGTGCCGTCAATTGAAAGGTCAAGAGATTGTTTTGCTGAATTTGCAATTTTTTGTCTGGTCGAGATTATACTGTACTTTGTCTTTGCTGGATGCATTTTCATTCTGTTTGGATGCATTTTCGTTTCTGTCTATCTATCTATCAAAATATACCTGTACATCGCTGAAACAAATGATTGCAGGGTTGTCATTAAGTTTTAAAGCAGCCATAGCAAATGAAGAATCACCCGTAGCATCTCACATAAAATTTGTAGTGTTTAGTTAGCTTTCCACTCTGATCACCCATAACATCAAGTGAGCTCAGCTGAACTGGTGTTACGGGTTACAGCCCTTAATGACAGTTCTGGACTGTACTATATTAATGCAATTTGTTGTTTTATTTCAGCTTACTCCTCCTCACTGTTATTCCATGAAGAAACAGGAGTTATTAGTTTCTTAAGAAAAACAGTTGCTCTTGATGAGGTAATAACTTTTGCTGTTGAAAAAGATAGCTCTTTCTGGGCTCGAAATAATTTCCAGAGAGTCTCCAGACACAATGACCAGCCAAATTCATTTTGGCTCAGTCATGTACCGGGTATCGTTTCCGGCTGGTCAAATTTATAAGATAAGTAACTGTTAAAACAGGGGCCCATGAACTAAAACTGGAGCTATATATTACCAAAAAAGTCATTGCTTAGAGCTTATAGCACTTTAAAACACTCATTCTCAACAATGAAATTAAATTATCATGTGTGGTTCCAGAAAATATCCATACCACCCCCACGGAAGGGATCGGATTTTCCAGGTGGCAAGGGGGGGGGGGTCAATTTGCCTAATTTTCCAGAGGGACACTATAGGGAAATGAGGGTTCTCATGATGCGTAAGTGAGTAACAAAGAAAAAACACAAAAATTTACCACAACAATTTATTTGCGAAGATATAAAACACGACAAAAGTTAAAGAGCTACTAAACCTAAGGATTAATGGACATACTAGCGAACATATTTTGTCAGTTCCTTGGTGTGACCTAGCTTGCAAATTTTTGCTAGTGTGTTCAATCCCATATCTCCTTTATCCGCCAGTTTTGACACCGCCAATCAAAATTTACTACTCAGTAGGCTCAACTCTAAGTATGCAAACCATTACGCCCCACCCTTTATAGAGGAGCTACAGGTGAGGGACCCTCCCGAGATATTTTCTATCAGGGACAAATGATTTGTGAAAAGAAATGGTGGGTAAACAAGTATGGTTACAGGAGATGAACTGTCCAGAATTGATGTTCTATCTTTATTTTTAATATAGTTTATAGATGCCAAAGTGGAACTTTTGAAGTTTGTAAAAACCTTTGTGAATAAGCTTGAGAAGAAAGTAAATCCTTATGCACTTAACATTAAGGTAGGTCCAACGTTTTTGCTATCTTGTGAATAAATTTGTTATAACCTTTATTCAAAGTATTTCTCTGTTTATTGGCATAAATCCCGTGACTAATTTTTCATAACTGGCTACCATTGATCAAATTTGACATTTACTGATATCAGCTAGTACAATATTAATACCAACTATACCAATAATCAGCAGAAAAAGAGAGAGGACTAGGCATGGTAGCTCAGCTCTTTTGAGCTGGCGAGAAAGTGGCGGAAGATTTCTCATGTTTTTAAAGAAGAAATAGTGGAACTAGTGTTTAAAAAACATAGCAAGAAAACAAAAATATGGCTTGATGGATGACAATTGCCATTTAAACATCTCTTTGAATGTCTAAACCACCCAATAACCAGCAAATACTTTGAAGACAGGAAAGTTATATAGATTGAGGTTAGCATGTTTTGAAAATGTAAGTATTTCCAATAAATAGTGAGTAAAAATTGATAGGTTCAGCTCTTGTATGATATTAGGAATTATGAAGATCTCTGAGGATCACATCCTTTGGTCTCAGCAGATGATACCATCCTCAGTCAAATTAACATTGTTTTACTGGAGGGTTAAATCCACCAGAAATTATTTTATTTTTTTGAGTGAAAATAAAAGCTTACCCTCATTGCTAATAAAGGTCATTGGGTAATGGTAATAATTGGCCTGGAAAATTTTTTTCAAAAGAGAGTATCTTCCTGTAGACTTTTGTTTATTGACAAATTTTCAGCGTAGTTTATTGTGTATTGCCAAACAAATTACAGACTAATTTTTTTGTGGCAGATTATATCAACGTGATATGAATGACCAATTCACTAAAAAAAATGATATAACAAAGCTTAATAATATTAAAACATGCAGCAAAGGCTGCAAAAGTCTGAAATAAGTCTGGCTTTTGTAAGTATTTCTTATGATTGTTGTCCTAAAGAAACTGAAATTACATGATTGTATTATTAATATGTGTATTAATAACTTATTATTAACTTTTTTGTATTAAAAATACAATTAACTTTTAGTTTCTTATTGACCCCACATGCTTATGCGGTTTTAACATTTTTAAAGTTTTTAAATAAAGGCAATCTATCTTAAGTAATAATGCATTTCGTACAAAATTACCATTTGTAACTAGACACTTTATTTGTTTCATTAGGACATATGTGTAAAATTGTTTTCTCAAGATCGCAGCAACAAAGTAAAAGTGGAAACTTTCCCACTTCTCACTCAGGTATGTATACCTAAGTTATAGAGGTTTTTCATATTAAACACTGGTTTTCAATCAGTGTTGTCAGAAGAGAAACCTTTGTTAAATAAATTTTTGTTTTAAAATAAAGCATATAAACCATCTTAATATTTACGCGGCATGACTTAGTCAGCCAGCGTCTTAAATTCGGGAGCACATTCCTTTCGTATTCTTGGGAGTCAAAAATTGCCTTGTTTTTTTAACTTTCCTGTATCCCGAGCATATTCCGAAAAAATTGTGAGATTTTTATTGGCTGCATTTTCGAATCATGTGCAAGTCAGGTTGGATTGCACAAGCAGGCTAAAGATACTGCATCAGCAAAGAAGGTGAGCTTTTACAGTCAAAAGCTAGAATGTCTAGAATTTGTTATTTACGAAGTCGTAGCTCGCTCGGCTGCTTCGCGGCCTAAAAAGAACACTCCACTAGCTAAGAAACTCTTGAGGTCAACTTGTATGTAGCAATATGTAGCATGTCTATCAAAAAGCTTTAAGAAAATGTTGTTAAATCAGGCAGCGGGCACGCATTGATGTTCAAAGGTCGTTTCACGTAAGGTAACTTTACAAGGTAAGGTAACTTTATTTAAACATGGTATTTCCTTCAGGTATACATTTACATTCAAGTATAGAAAAACTAACTTCCTAACTAATGTAAAATCTAAAATAAAAACTAAAATAATAAAGATGAAAAGAAAACACCTGCTTTTCAAGGAGGCCATGTGTAAAAGCAGAATATAGCTGATTAAATTATTTGTCAATCGAAATTTATGTCTCTTAATTTTCCCTTAAATATACCAGGGGATGTCAATTGCCGCACCTCTAGAGGCAAGCTGTTCCATAACACACTTCCGCTGTAAGAAAGACTTCTTTTATAAAATTCAGTATGTGGCTGTGGAACAGCGAGCTTGTATTCATTCTCTCTAAGGTTATAACTGTTAAATCGCAGCGACGAACAAATCGCGAAGTCAGATACTCTGGAGCTGTGTTATTTACAATAGCATGACATTGTCAGGATTTGCGAGATCCAGAGACAGATTTTGTAAATAGCATTGGCTTTTGAATGAAGTTTAGGCTTTGGACTTCTAACCTTGAGGATGGTTTCCATGTTCATGATGACAGTTTTATGGCATGCCATTCCAACCAATTTCTCGCCATGAAAATGTCCCTTGCCGTGCAAATATCCTTATTATTTAAACTTAGGAAAAATTTGTTCATGTATTTGAAATCAAAGATCAGTCTAAGATCAGATCTAGATCAGTCTACATCTAAATTTATTGGTCAACAGAAACTATGTTTAGTTATCACGCTAACATTAAATTAAGAAGAAAAAGATTTAAAATTTGGAAAAAAAATAGAAATAAATAAAAAATAAAAATAAATAAATACTGGAGGAGGGTCACCTCCTACTAATCTCCTTGTAAGTAACCACTTAACATACTCTTAATAATATCTAAAGATTTGGTAGATACAATGTCAGAAGGGAGGCTTTTCCATTCCCTCACTGTTCTACTTGTATGTTCAATAAAATATTTAAAACCATGAGATCCACGAGTCCAAGTTTCTGTTGCTGGAGTCAGGTACTCAGACTAGTTAACATGAATGATGTGATTTGTACATCTTTGTGATTTGTACATAAATTTTGTACATTGTGCATAAGCGAGCTTGTTTGTGGCGAGAGGCCAGGGGTTCCCATTCCAAATCTTTTATCATAGAAGTTACACTTGAAGAATATTTATAATCCCCTTTACAAAAAACGAGCAGCTGCCCTTTGAATATTTTCCAGGTCATTTACATCACATAGATAGTCTGGGTCTCAGACTACTGATGTATACTCCAATTTGGGTCGAACAAGAGTCTTATACAGGAGACATTAAATTGGTATCCTCATTGCAAAACCAAAAGTTTCTTTTGCTCAGATTAAAGGTCTTGGTAGCTTTAGAGGATAATTCATGAAGATGGTGATTCCATCTCAGATTGGCTTCCAGGGTGACTCCCTTACAGGGGTTCTTTTCAACATACGCTAAGGTAGTGTTGCAGAAAGTATATTCTCGAAAAGGTGGATTCCTCTGTTTGGATATACATAATGAAATGTTTCTCAGGGTTGAATTCCTTCTGCCAGGTGTTCTGCCTTAGTTCTGGTTTCTTTAGGTCAGATTGAAGTTTGTCCATATCTGCAGCAGGGGTAATGGATATATGAATAGGGCAGCATCAGCAATTGTAGTCTGGTTTGACATTCAAGGCCAAACGATAAATCATTAACATAAAGTAAAAACAAAAGGGGTCCTAGGACCGTTTCTTGAGGAACACCTGAAATTACTTGCTCGGGTGGAGATGAAACCGTTTGTTGAGTTCTGTGTGTTAAGAAGCTTCTTAGCCAGTTATTCAAAGGGCCAGTTATTCCATAATGGTGTAACTTGATTAGGAGCCTTTCGTGTGGCACATGGTCAAAGGCCTTTGTAAAATCAAGAATCA